ATGGTGTCGTGAAGACTCCAAACTATGAACGATTTTTGGATTTTGCCTCGTACAGTTGCTGATGACTATTCTCACTACTTTGACTCAACGACGTCTGTGTATCAAGTACTGTATTTGTACAGGTTTTATACTCAGACAGCCACCGTTTATTATTTGTGTACAGTTACCGTTTATACTGCGGCTCTCATTGCCTAGTGGTAAATTATGTACACAGATGATTAAATTGTTTAATGTTCATGTTCTTGTGAGCTGCTACTGTGCACTTTGCTTCTGCAAAAAACGCAACTTCCCTGTTACACCAGAAAATAAAGACTTCTACGTACTCGTGGGTGTTTGTGTCAAATTTATGATGAAATGCTAATTTAAAAAAAAATAAAATAAATTCCATGATGTTGAAACTACGCCTACTTATTTTCTATTTATTGAGTCTCTCAATAAAGCAGCGCAACGTCCACTTCTAAAGTCTCCATCTGCTGCCATTTGGAGTGCAAGCGTCATCCACCATCAATAACTTGGGCTAAATACAGACCACAAGCATCATATCCTGTTTTCTAAGAAACAGAAGGCTGACTGTGGGCTTTCCTTGCCATCCGTGACCCCCCACCCCCACCCCCGCAAAAAAAATCCATCCTGACGAAAGTTTCAGCACACCGTGTGGAACTAATTCCATTTGCTAATGACAAATCCCTCATTAAGTTAGGTTGCAAGCGGCACTTTCTTATGACGCACAACTTGAAGCTGGCCTGCCTGAGCTGCTGTGTCACAACATGAAAATATAGTGGACACAAATCTATTTGCTTTTCGATCCAGGGACAAAAGACAAGCGGGGCGTCCATTTGAGGGCGCGTCTCTTTTTATTACATTAGAGAATTGGGATGCACTTAGTTGGTGTTCATCGCTGCCTGGAGTCCGGTTATGTCAGCAGAACTGCAGCTAATGCACATTCATAACGGCATTACCTGTGTGTTGTTTGCCACGTTTTTTGTTTTTTTATGTTGTATTTTTGGGGGGGGGGCGTGGGGGATAATATGACAATGCAGGAAGCAAATTATTACATTACAAAAGTTTAGATTAGAATCTCACGACATACCGCGCAAGTCTGCCGATATTGAACTCTCGAATGACTTGCGGAAATTGCAAAAAGCAGCATTTCAAAAACCATCTACGTTCAGAGGTTTCCGTTTTCAGCCTTCAAAACACAGCTTCCGTGACATTTTAATTCATTTTCAGTTAAGGAATGCCCTCCCTTGTTATACATTGTGAAGGTCCACTGAAATTAAACACATACGGGACCTAAACGGAAAACATAACTATACCAATGACAAACACATCCATCCTGTTGCCCAGTTTCAAATCTGCGTTTAATTTTTTTTCCCCAAAAATCGTTAAGCCGTAGTATTCATTACTTGCAGGTTTTCGGATTGCAGAGGTTCACTGTATCATGTGAATTTCTACTTTGATGTGGATTTTTTTTTTTTTTTAAAGTAAGAGTCCAGGTTTTGGTGCCATCAGGAATAGTTTATAGTACAGTCGTGATGGGACGTCACTAAAATTAACAACGCCCCATGGGAATCTCCGTCCCAGAGACCTTAAAATACAAGCTAGCGCACCCGAGATATCAACTTCAGACATACAACTAACATGACATCACATGAGAGCTATTGTAACCAGAATGGCGCGGCCTGCTGAAAATTATTTATTACTGGCTGTTATTTGTCTGCACCTTCCTGGAAGTGGGCCTAATTCTGAGTGTCTGGAGTCATGCTGTTGAATACTTTATGAGGCCACATGCATTAGGTGAGGGCTGAGGGGAGCAGGGGGTGGGTGGGGGGCGGGGGGGTCCTTTATGCTATTAAAGAGGAAAATGGACAAGGATGTAACGAGCAGCATGTCCTTGAGTGGGTGAAAACGATGACGTGTGTACGGTAAAACAGTGGTGCCTTGTGACACAAGTTTAATTTCTCCACTGACAGTTCTCGTAGCTCACAATATTCATATCAAATATTCTTTTCCCATTGATATGAATGGAAGTGCCATTAATTTGTTCTGGCCTCCCCCCAAAAAAGTCTTTTTTTTTTTTAAGGAAATAGCACACGTGACTGTTTGTTCCTCAAAGTTTCAGTTGCTGTGCCTCTTCTATACTTTGGTCCTTTTTTTCTCCCACGTACGCTTGATGTCTCACAGTATATAAACTCGGATTACTCCGTGACACCGCTGTCAGTACGTCGAACTTTCTCCCAGTCGGAGTGTCGGCTCTCTGCCATGTCTCCTGCACTGGGCATTGCTCTCAGGAGTTAGTTTGGATTCCCGTAGATGAAGAATTTTACTTCTAAGTAACTACGTAGATGAAGACTTAGATCTGAGAATATTAACTGGTGAGAGGCTCAACAGTAGGATTTGAATGATTAAGCTAATGGCTCAAACTATGGCTGGTGGTCCAAACGGTTGTCAATTAATTTGTTCATTGATCATTAACTAACCAGGTTTACATGGACACTTTTTTTTTCATTCCAATGGAAATTATTCCGACTGAAGATCTCTGGTCAACTGTTGACATGTGATTTGATCTAATTCGATCTCCCGTCTTACATACTCAACCACGTTAATCAGAACACCTGTTTCATAGCCGTATGACATGCAGAGATCTCGGTAAACATCGCGTGATTTCTCAAGGTGGAGTTCACTTGCCCATTTAGAACCGTAGTTGGGATTGTTTTGACACTTTAATTAAAGCAACAGTAAACCCACCTGCCGTTGCCCCGCTACATTTATCAACCGAAAGTCAAATGTTTCCTGCCACCAATGAATATATTCGTCAAGTATGTTTTTCCCAATGGGGAGATGTGGTCTCACCCAGCTTGCCTGTGAAATTCGGGCTTTGGGTCTGAAATGGCTCACAGCTTCCTGTAGATGGGGACAGAGCATCACTTTAGATTTGAGAACAGCACAGGTTTTGAGTTGAAGTTAAAGACGGGGGTGGTGGTGCCAAGAGTGTCAAAATGTTGAAAGCGATTCATGGCTACTCTAAATGGCTTTTTCCACACACCCCTCTTCAAATGTGGCCTTGCTGATGCGATCGAGTGTGTCATGCTGTTCATGTGATTTAAAAAAATAAAATGGAGTCACATGAGGCTCCAGTAGGAAAGCTAAAAATGGACACTGCTTATCACCAACAGACATGAAGTGTGTCCGTGAACAAATAATGATTTTTTCCCCTTTTTTCCAAGATGGCGCCCGAGTTGGCAGCCGTCAGCAAGTGCTCTTCAAGAGCCTTGCGTTTTTTTGTTGTTTTTGTCTTTTGTTTTGTCACATGGTGTTGTTGTTACGCCGTGTGGACCTGATGTGGACTGTTTTCAGCATTTTTGGCCACGACATTCGTCAAAGAAGAAGAATCTATGCTTAGTGGTTGCGCCTTCTCGGCGGCACGCGTGTACCAGCACTGATTTTGATTGGGAGGAATGTCGGCGCCATTTGACTATTTTGTCATTGCTGGACAGCCCCGGGGCGCTTGTGTCTTGTGCCTGAAATCGGCAGCATTTTCACAGCCCCGCTTTGTTCAGCGGAAAGGTTGGTACGGATGGGCAGTCTGCGGCTGGATGGACGCATGGCTTGAGAAGCCGATGATGAGAAGAAAGGAGTGACAGCGCAGAGCGCCGATGCGTATGTGGAGCTGGGAGTCACGGCTTGGAATTGAAGCGGATTTACATGGGACAGGAGAAGAGAGACAATCTCTCTTTTTCGTTAATGGATGCTACAGCCTCTTGTTGCTTTCAAGCTTAGCTTGTAACAGACGTGCACATTGCAGCATGACGTCTTTGAACCACTGGTGAAAAGGACACCTTGATTTGCTCCTCTTTCATCGATCACTGCTTCAGACAACAAAGTGTATGCAGGAAAGTGGTTAAGATTGCACATTTTGTCTGTGTCTAATGTGTTGTCTTGTATTATTTTGTCATTTTATGTTGACTTTTCTTTTGATGGCGGCGCGGACACCCGCAGCTGCTCCTCTTGTTTTATGTTATCTTGAGAGGTAAGAAATTTCATCTGTGCTGTATTTGACAATAAAGTTGTACTTGACTTGACTTGTACTTTACACACCCACCGTGTGCAGCGTGTAGTTGTCAATGCTACAGAGGGAAAAAAAATATGCAGAAAAAACAAGTTCAAGTCTATTCTGAATAGGGTCAGTTATATCGGCCATGGATGTAATATGACAATCCATCACATAATCAATTTTATCCCATCCATTTGTATCACAAATGTATTTATACTTTATTATATTATACAGTAATTTTGACATCTACTTGCAAAACACCTCAGAATTTTAGCCGATACATGTTATAAGTGGATTGTTAACGTTAACTTGTTTGCCAATCAGTGTGAAGGGTTTCCTCAAGTATTAGACAAAATTAAAATGTCAAGGAGACATATTGAGAAATAATCAATAGCGTTTTACTCTCATTTGAAGGTTTTTTTTAACCAGATTTTCTGTGGCCGATACCAGACAGTTTCCCAAAACGATGATTTTTATTTCTGACAAAATAATAATAATAAAAACTTCTCCGGCACCCATCACTAGACTTTCCATTTGCGTATCATCTGGATATTGATACTTAATCCACTTGTTAAACTAAGAACGTTTTGACAGTTTTCTACTTCATTTATTTGGTATCGACCGCTGATCAACAGCTGTCTTCAAGTGAAAGTGAGAGTTGTTTTGTCATGCATCGATGGGAATACTGTAACGATATGAAAACATATCATCCATTAGGTCACGCCGTTTGCCCCGTGACTCCTTTGAGTCGTTGTAGACTTTTTTTCCGGTACATTTGTTGACCAATCTTCCGACTTCCCATTTTATTAGTAAGTACGTTGGACTTTTTTAAATCCCTTTGTAATGTTTCCTGCCGTTTCTCCTTTCGGTTCCTCGCTCCACCGGTCGTTTGTTGGGAACCGAAAGTGCGTAAAAGGGAGGGTAGTTGACGGTGGGAGACAGTTACCTTGCCCAGTAGGTTAGCTTACTTTTCGTGGGCGCCGCCTCACGCTGCTGCTTTCCCCCGGTGCCCAACACAAACTCCTCGAGGTCGGGGGATTCAACACTCACTTGCTCGCTTCGGGCTGCTTGCCAGAAAACCAGAACCCAAAAAAGGTACAATAAAACCGGAGTGGGGAAAGAGCCGTGAAAGTTGAGTAAGTCCGCGGCAGTGTGACGACGAGGCAGACGACTGTTGCTTGCTTGCTTGCTTACTTCAACAAACCTTCCGACTCTACCCTCTCTCAGCGGATTTGAGATCTGGGACGTGCAATGGGCGTGGTCAGGGTCGCGGCCGCGATGACGTGAATGGAAATGCAGTAAATCCCCCTTCTGTGGCGGGTCATTTTAGAGACGGCATATGTGTTGTGAATATCTGTACAGTAATTCAATTGTGCTTCGTCAAACAGAACATTTCAGATACCCGAAATTACATTCTACCGATCCACAATCAACATTTTAGGTAATTATGTCACAAATATTCATTAAATACATTAGTCAGACTGTTGAACGTCAGCATCTGCAGTACATGTGTGATAAAACATGCAAATTGGCAATATAAAGACAAACGAGCAATGTCTCTTGTATGAGGGCACGCGACAACTTGTCTGCGTTGTCAAATGTGTGTGTGGTCGCGTGAGGAACAAAAGATGCCATGAGTCATTGGGAGGTGCTCGTCACTTTTCGTCCATATATTTAAACAGGACATGTGCAAAATCAGCTATCTTAGTCATAGTTGTATTAAATGAAGTTTTATCTAGGTGAAATGAAGTTGTGGCACCTGGAACTGGAATGATGACTCATCACAATCAAATTGTAGAGACGTCAAAATGGAGTGACAGAAAGTTGCAGTTCCATTGAAGCTATCCATTATGACTCATTAAAATCAAACTGTAGAGACCTCAAACTGGAGTAACAGATAGTTGCAGTTCAGTTGCAGCTATCCATTATTCGCTTTTGAATACTGACAGAAAATATCTGTATCACATCCTCCACACTCACAATGCCGTAGGCAAAAGTCATTTGTCCAAGATGAAATGACATGTCATGTATCTATGTTTAAGTTTTTACAATTGCTTTTGAAGAAAAGAAGAAAGGATTTATGTATACCTTTCCCTGGCCTCCATTACGAATATTAAAGTCCAGCTAATTGAATCAGGTTTTTTAGTATTCAAGAAGCATAATCCACATTTCGTTGTCTGAAAGCCTTTGAGTCTCCCAGCCCAGAATATTGAGCAGCCTCAGACATCGACGACAACACAAACTGAAGGAAAATTGGAGCATTAAAGTTTTACAACCAGTCTCCAGTAGACTCGTTTCTGAGAGGAGATTATGGGCCGCTGTGGAAAAGTGGAGACTCTGGTGTATAACCCGCAAATGTCGGATTTTCTCATTTATGACTCCGCATCCTTGATGTTACAATGACACGGCGAGTCTTAATTCAAAAGCAGAATATGTGGCAGTACAAACCATCGCAGTAAAATGGAGACTGCAGAGCCTAATACCGCTGCAACACGGTAAGATAACATTAGCCTGTTTGCTTATTTTGGTCATTGTTAGCCATGAACTGTATCTCCATGTTACAATAATGCCGAGATTGTACAATAAAAGAAAATATTAAGAACAAGAAAACTGGCCGCTGCAGTACCATAGACTGCTGCACAAGCTTGTGGAAGACACTCATGGTGGACACAGTTATGGTCAAGTTCCAATGCGACTAAGTTTGACTAAGTGTAAAACTGGTTTAAGCGTTAAAGATTTTGCGGTCATGACAGAAGCCTGGGAAAGCAGTCAAGTGACGACTGTGACCAACAAATATGTCCATTTGATTATGTGGAGTGAGTGACATACAGTACTGTATACCCTTTCCAGTCAAGATGTAGAGTCTACATACTACAGGTATGGATTTCAGAAGTTTGTTAGGTAAGTATGGATGTTAGCTGCCAAGTCAGACTTTTTTTTCCCCTACTGGATAATCCCACTCCCGTTTGCACCCGGGAATTTGTTGTCCTGTATCGTCCCAAAATCCGTGACTAAAGTTGACTCCCATTTCGTGGGAATCCCGCGGGATTCCTGAGACACGCGAGATTTCTGAAAAAATGTCAGCTTCTAGTAAGAAGGTAGTTTTGCATGTAAGTTCCAGTGTTAGGTTTTTGGATAGGTAGTTTAATATGCAGTTTGGTTGGTGGCAATTAGGAAGGTAGGCAGGTAATTCAGTCGAAAGCTTTGTAGACAGTTTGGTGGATATATGGATAAGTAGCTTGAAAGCTATGTAATTTGGTCCTCAGTTGGTAGGTAGTTTGGTCAGAAGGTCAGTAGTTCAGTAAGTAGATTTAATGAGCGTTTGACCTAAAAGCTTTTGGACAGTCATATTACCATATTCGGTAGTTTGCTCAGTAGCTGATTTAGTGACTGTCAAACAAATCATGCTTGACCTGTTTGTAGGCCGGCCTCAAAATAGCAGCTGTCCCTGGTCCGTCTGCAGCACATCCAGTTTAGATGCAAAAATTCTTTGTGTTATTTGTGCGTGGAGCTTCCTCCTCACGGGGGTAACAATGGAGGTGTTTGTCACCACGCCGCCCGGACCCTGGCAGTGACATCTGCGGGTCCTGTGACTCCTCGTTTCTCCAACAACAATCCATGTGCTCTCAGAAGGGCCGTCTGACCACAGGGTTATGATTGCAAAATGTGTAAAATATCACGAGGAGATGACTCAAATCAAAGGAAGTGAAGTCAATGTGTTCTTTTTGATAATTCGTACAATACAGTTGGTTCATTCATCTGAAGTTAGGCATTCCTTTCACTGCATTCCACAGGTAGGCAGTTTGGTAGGCAGGTAGTTCATTGGCTGACTAAGGTTAGGTCCAAAAGAAATTGGTGAAGTACCGGTAAGTAATTTGGTTGGTAGTTGAGTTCAGTAGGTAAGGCACTGGCTAGCTAGCTACAACACAATTGGTTCATGAAAATGAAGGAACAGCAGTGTTGTTGCTTTGCTTTGACTGTTGCTGCATTCTTTTCACCAATGGTTCCTGTTGTGGGCCACGACTTGCGGCTAATGATTAGCCGCTAGCTTCAACAGCCACTGTGGCTAATGATTAGCCATTAGCTTCAAACAAGGGTGACCCTACATGACTGGATCTCAAATGGCGACCTTGAAATAATCCAAGCCAACCAGAGCTGGTTGTTTATTCCCACATGTGTCAATCATTATTCTATCCTTGAGGTGTTGTTTCAGAGGTCATGTAGCTTATGCGGGTTCTCCCAGCAGCTAGTTTTCTGTGTCGTATTTGTTTATTTGTTTTGCTTATTTGTTCGGATCCACATTAGCTGTGCCTTTAGGCACTGCTAGTCTTCCTGGAGTCCTCTTATAATAACAGCAAATACATTCAAAAACATTCATTTAGAAAGAAAATACAAAAACAGTATACCTGTACATTAAAAAAAGAAAATACATTTGGAAAAAAAGCAACATGTATTAAACCCTAAAATCCATTATAACATCATCTTATAAACAACATTAAAAGTTTCCTTGAACATGCTGCAGTTACTTTCGCAGAGGTTTCTTTATTTGACTTTTGAATCGTGATTTCCGTTTCAGTTTGGTCATTGACAGTGGTCCAGTATTCCATGTTGGCATTTCTCTGTAGTCAACTGTTTGCTTCAAGTGATTGATTTTATGGTTTAGGTCAGGAAGTGAGAACCGGCCTTGTGGCACATGTATATGACTCTAAATTGCCTTTCAGCTGATTTTCCTCAGCATCGAGGCTTGAAGGAGTGTCGCCTCTTGACTGCTCACTCAAACACTGCTGAGTGTGTCTTTTTGCCACTCGACCCAGAGCAAGACGCCACAAGTTTTGCAAAAGGGCGTGTGTGTGTGTGTGTGTGTGTGTGTGTGTGTGTGTGTGTGTGTGTGTGTGTGTGTGTGTGTGTGTGTGCGCGCGCGCGT